CGGCTAGGTTGCACTAGCCGTGGTCACGAGCTGACTGAAAAAAATTCACTATTTTGTAATGTTTCTGTAATAAAGGCATATATCATGAGATATTATTAGGTTTATTATATAACACAGTAAGTCCTCGGAGAGAGCCTGGAGATCTGTAATACAGGTTTTAACTTAGTTCGGACTCCAGACTCTTACAAGGAATAACTTGTAAGTTTCAATATATACTTTTGTTACTTTGTTTAATATTGCAAGTTTCCTTGTGAGCAGTAAATAAAGATTATTATTATTTATTTATTTATTTGCTTTATTGACCACTAAAATTGGTACAAAAGGTGGACTTAATGCATTAATAAGAATAATAGCATTCTCTTCCAGTCAACCTTTGGGATGTGCGAAATACATGAATATAACATAATATAATTATAATTATAAAGAATATAATGTAATTATAATAACAAAATACACATAAACAATAAATATATTGTGTGAACAGAATTTTATAATCATTATTACATAGTATAAAATAAAATCGCTGTCGCTGTCTGTCCCTACGTGTGCTTAAATCTTTAAAACTACGTAACGGATTTTGAAGCGATTTTTTTTAATAGATAGAGTGATTTTGATTCAGATGGTACTGTAATCTGTACTATAATTTTGTATTTTTAGGCGTTATTTTATTACATATATGCTGTGCCCGCGACTTCCTTCGCGTGGTTATCAAAAACACAATCGCGATTATCTTTTAATTTTTCCCGTGTTTGCAACATTTTTCACTGATACTTCGTTTCTATTGGGTCATAACGTAATTTTATATAGCTTTAAGCCTTCCTCGACAAATGGACTATCCAACACAAAAAATATTTCTCAATTCAAAACAGTAGTTCCTAAGATTAGCGAATTCGAACAAACAAACAAACTCTTCAGCTTTATAATAATAATAATAAGCTCAGGACAATTCACGCAGCGCCATCTAGACCCAAGTTAAGATAGCTAAAGCTTGTGTTATAGGCACTAGACAACTGATACAAATACATAGATTTTTTTTTCGGTAATAAATATTATACATAGAAAACACAAAGACCGATGCAAACAATCATACTCATGAATACAAATGTTTGTGCCGTGCGAGGAATCGAACCCGCGACCATCGTAAGTAAGCTCAAAAGACTATTGTACTTGTCTTAGAATATTATCTAAAACAGCTGCAAATTATTAACACGAGGCAGGTGGCTGTCTGCGGAAGTGTTTCCATATATCGTAGTACAATGCGCATGATGCGCATGCGCCTTGGGCTTACTACTATTAAGGATTAATAGTCCGAGAAAACGCCTCTTCAACCATGAAACAGATTGTAAGGAGTAGCTTATGGACGCGTAATATTTTTTAATGTTATTACAGGCTGTTTTAACCGTCCGATACGAATAATAGGAGAAAGTTTAAGCTTCGGTGATTGCTTTGGGCGTTAATATATTAGGGGTTTTAGTTATGTTACTGTATGGATGGTAGGGTTGTCACAAATCGTATAAAAAGCATGATGGTAGTCGCTATATTCTCTCTAATTGAATTTTTCATTTCTGTAATCATTTACTCATTTGAAAGGAATAAGAGCTGAGTTTTATGTATGTACTAGCTTTTGCCCGCGGGATCGCTCGTGTTAATTTATCCCCTTGGGGGAAGGAATTTATCAAAATCCTTTCTTAGGGGATGCCTACGTCATAGTAGCCCGATAGGTTTGAAATTGACAAAGTTTCATGTAAATTTTCATCCCCTATTTTATCCCTTTGGGGGTGGAATTAATCAAAATCCTTTCTTAGCAGATACCTACATCATAACATCTACCTGCATGCCAAATTTCAGCCCGATCCGTCCAATGGTTTGGGCTGTGCGTTGATAGATCACTATGTCTGTCACCTTTGAGTTATATATATGTACATATATATTTACTAGCTGTCCCGGCAAACGTTGTTTTGCGATATAAATTAATAACGCTATAAAAAAATAGGGGTTGATGACAGAAGGGTGATAATTTAGGATTGTATGTATTTTTGTATGTTGTATCATAAAAAAATAGAAACTAAAAATTTTGTCTAAAAAATAAAAAAAAAATTTAGGGGTGGACTACCCCTAATATTTAGGGGGATGAAAAATAGATGTTGGCCGATTCTCAGACCTACTCAATACGCTCACAAAATTTCATGAGAATCGGTCAAGTTTCGAAGGAGTATGGCAACGAAAACTGTGACACGAGAATATTATATATAAGATAAAAAAATATCTAAGTATTTGTATTTCAGTATCTAGTTAACACAAGCAATGCTTATTTTGGGATTAAATAATGCTGTGTTAATAGTTAGGGTTAATAATAATAACATTTGTAATCCGTGTTCTTCTTAATTGTTGCCTCACTGCTGAGGATCGCGACTCTATACGATTCTGTCGACCAGCTGTCAGCATCGCTTACGCTCAGACGCCTGCTGTAGTGCGGCGACGACAGTAATATACAGCTGACTGGATATCTGGTCTGACGTTCCAATAAGATGTACACCGCTTTACGACCGATGGTCGCGGGTTCGATTCCTCGCACGGCACAAACATTTGTATTCATGAGTATGATTGTTTGTATCGGTCTGGGTGTTTTCTATGTATAATATGTATATATTTAAAAAAAAAAAATCTATGTATATGTATCAGTAATCTAGTACCCATAACACAAGCTCTGGCTAGCTTAACTTGGGTCTAGATGGCTCTGTGTGTATTGTCCTGAGATGATTATGATTATGAGATGATTATTATTATATATTTATATTATATACATATTAAAAAAAAAAAAAAATAAGACTTCGGCCTCCAGGTCTTCTACCCTATTTCTTCCCTGTTATTCTATCCTTCGTTACTAGCATACAAATTTTTTAATTTATAGTCGAGCGCAGTGGTGGCTGACTCATCCGGCATACTCGTGAACGGGTGCTGCTTGTGTGGACTGATCTGCTCTAATCACTATGACTTATTTTCTCTTATTAATTGTTTAATCAGTTGTTGTGTATTTAATGTTTTTTCTATTTTATTATTTCATTGAATTAGTGCTAATCAGTGGTTTGTCAACACTTAAACTTAAATTGTAAGTTAGAATAAATTATTTAAAAGAGCAACACACAAGTTTCTTGCTTGTTCTTCTTGTGATGAGACAGCATTCCCAATGAGCGGTAGATTAAAAAAAAAGTTATGACTATTCAAAAGTGCTTCAATATAATTTTATTTGAATAAATGATTTTCAATTCTATTCTATTCTATTTAGTTCCGATTTACGTTTTTAACATATTGAACGGTTACAACCCTGACCGAGAACCACTATATTTTGGGACGAGCTGTTAATCTTGACTTATGAGTTACGCCCAGTGCCCTGTAATTTGTAACTTCGTTTGTACTAATAGAAAAGATTATAAAAGTTATTTTATTGCTTTTTTATATCTTTTTTTTATTATAGGTTCTATTAATTTTAAGTGATTGGAAACATGGGTTTTACTCGCATAGTGAGCTTCTGTTTTTAAACAATTTTTAAATTAATAACTATATAATTTTTCTTGTATGTCTTTACATAAAAATGTATTTATATCAGTTGTTTACTATACATAATGCAAGCTCTGCTTAGCTTGGCACTAGATGGCGCTGTGTGAATTATCCTTAGATATAATTATTATTTACATAATTAATATTTGAAGCAAAAACTTTGTTCCCCTTTTTACAAAATTTGGGCTGACGGACGAGTATGAATTTTCACACATTTATAGTTTACTAGCCCGCGGCTTCGCTCGCGTTAATTTATCCCTTAAGGGTGCAATTTATCAAAATCCTTTCTTAGAGTATGCCTACGTCATAGTAGCTTTATGCATGCAAAGTCTCAGCCCGATCGGTTTAAAATTGACAAAGTTTCATATACACTTTCATCCCCTATTTTATCCCCTTGGGGGTAGAATTAATGAAAATCCTTTCTTAGCGTATGCCTACGTCATAACATCTACCTGCATACCAAATTTCAGCCCGATCCGTCTAGTGGTATGGGCTGTGCGTTGATAGATCACTATGTCAGTCACCTTTGAGTTATATATATTTAGATATATAGAGAAGGAGTGCAGAATGCGATTTTTTTTAATTATGCATAAAAATAATATTATACACACTACCACGTATTTGACACACACACACACACACACACACACACACACACACACACACACACCCACACACACATACATATATATACTCTTTTGTTTGTCGTTATAGTCTGTGGTCAATTTGAGAATAGAGCAATACTGTTTGTCTTTAATATTATTTGTCTATAGTCTGACTGAATGTTAAATTAATTATTAATAAAAATCACGTGATCTTACCACGTTTTATTTTGTTTTTGTTATTTAGTATAGGTACGATGGAATTGATAACCTATATTAAATAACAAAAATAAAATAAAAATCAATTTAAGACACTTAAACTTACTATGATACTAATATATCATGGAATACTCTTATGTCTAACCTATTTATCTTTGAGCTTGGATGATATATTCCCTTTTAGATGCATTACGAATACATTCCGACGACCTCGGTGGTCCAGCGGTCTAGTACACCGCTTTACGACCGATGGTCGCGGGTTCGATTCCTCGCACGGCACAAACATTTGTATTCATGAGTATGATTGTTTGTATCGGTCTGGGTGTTTTCTATATATAATATGTATGTATTTACAAAAAAAAAAATATCTATGTATTTGTATCAGTTATCTAGTACCCATAACACAAGCTTTAGCTAGCTTAACTTGGGTCTAGATGGCGCTGTGTGAATTGTCCTAAGATTATTATTATATTATTATTATTCCACCAAAATATGATGCAAATATTTCCCACAAGCACTTTTTTTTTCTTTTAGCTCCGGCGGTCTGTGTTGCCATTAGTCATACCTCAAGACCTTAGAAATGTTATAATAATAAATTATTTTTGTTTTTCAGATGCGGGAGCAGGTATAGCAGTGGTATGGGCCAGGCAGGCAGCCAGCCGTCCGCCGCGGTCCCTCAGCGAGCCCGGCGGGCGCACACCTTGCCGCACGAGCCACCGCGACATGCCCCCAAGGTATTACTGCCCTTATTTATTTATTTATTTCAATGTATAGCAACTTAAAAATACTTTATAGACTAACATAGAGTATCAATCTATTAAAGCTAATTCTTATAAATAAAACAAATCTATACATATAAATAAAATTGGAGTGCCTGTTTGTAATATTGAAATAGCCGTTTTTTACTACCTGCATATGAATATAAATACGGTGCATACATCAAAATTACATTTTTACCATTTTTGTCTGTCAGTCTGTTTTGTCCGGGTAATCTCCGAAATGGCTGGACCGATTTTGACGGGACTTTTATTGGTAGTTATCTGATGTAATAAGGACGTAGGCTACTTTTATTTTAGAAAAATAAAGTTACATTCTACGAGGACGAAGTCGCTGGTACAGCTAGTATATAGTATAGAGAGACGAACTTCTTAGCATTCCATGGATTCACCGTGCGGGTGTCGAGTCCATGGTGTGGCAGAGAGGGAAACTCCGAGCAATTCGCGAGACCCGGGTGTAGGCTGAACCCTTTGCCTTTTGGGAGAAAAACACTCAAGTTTTTAGTTTTTGTAACAGTTCTATTGTAGAGGAGGGAATTTGCAATATATCTAGATATTTTGCAAATACCTAGATGTTTAAAAGGATAAATTTTATCATGTATATGTATTATTTCTCAGCATAGCTGGTTTTGTAGAGACAAGGACAGGTTTTTTCCAAGTCACTTGTTCTCATATATTATTTTATTTAGTAGCAATGTTAGGAAGATATAGAGATATATAGAGTATATATGTATTTAATACTGTAGATTTCTGGAGTTCAATGAAGAATGTTTTATTAAGGTTATTATTATTATTATTATTATGTATCTTTTCTTTTCTCTTCTTTAATCTTGTTTAAAAGAAAGTGGTACTCTGGGTGAATATCATGTGCAAATGTTTTATTGCCGAAAGTTATACATTTTGTGGGAGAGGTAGTGCTATGTGAAGATGTTATTATTGTGGAAATTAGAAATTTTAAGTTTGTGACGGATGTTTGTTACTCATACACATAAAAACTACTGAACGGATTTTGATGAAATTTTACAGTAATATAGCTTATACATCAGAATAACATATAGGCTATCGATTTTACGTGTGAAACCGCGAGCACAGCTTGTTATTATATAAAATACAACATGTTTCCAGGTCCTTCCGTCGCTGCCGGACTCACCACACCTGCGCAGCACCGACAATGGTGCCATCCTTCAGTCAGGAGGCACTATTAGTGGACGGAGACCTACTTCCATCCTACACGAGCCCCGAGTACCTCATGGACATGTGGTAACATGTGTTTGAATTATTTACCAGTTGATGACCTCGGTGGTCTAGCTGTTTAGTATATATACTACATACTACTTTTCACAGGTTCGATTCCTCGCACGGTGCAAACATTTGTATTCGTGAGTATGATTGTTTGTATCGATCGGGGTGTTTTGTATGTATATTATGTATGTATTTACAAAAATAACATATTTAAGTATTTATGTCAGTTGTGTAGTACCCATAACACAAGCTCTGCTTAGGTTGGGACTGTATGGCGGTATGTTAATTGATTTGGATTATTATTAAATGAGGTCGTTCGAAATTCTACTAACATTAACAGTGACTACCAGGAATATCCTGTAAAATTACGCAAGCCTATAATTTTTAATGCAAGACCTGATATCAATTATATAATGACGACTGTTTACAGATATAGTTAGATATATTATAATTAATAATAATAATAATCTCAGGAAAATGGAGGACGAGGACCACACAGGACCATATAGACCCAAGTTAAGCTAGCTAAAGCTTGTGTTATAGGCTCTAGCTAACTGATACAAGTATATAGATATATTTTTGTCGTCAATACACACATATTTTACATAGAAAATACCCATACCGGACATAATCAATCAAATGTTTGTGCCGTACGAGGAATCGAACCGCACCATCGGATGTAAGGCAGTGTGCTGCACCGCTAAACCACCGAGGCCGTCAATGTATATTGTATGTCTAACGAAATAAAACAACCTTAATACACAACATGAAATATTAATTCATCTGTCGAGAGTGTTGACAGCAAACAATTTAACACTCAACTATGAACGCACTAAAACATAGGAATCTAGAAAATTAATCACTTCCCTATCAGCCAGGTCAGGTTAAGGTCATATAACATTGCACCCTAGAAAATACGTAGAAACTACCATGTCCAAGACGCCGTTTATTAAGTGCCTATCATATTTTAAAGCAATATAATTATTTACAGCATTCCAACGTGTTTCGTTCTCGTTCAGCGGGTGCTGGTGTCGAAACAGGTGACCTGCGGTCGAGAGAGAGGGACCCTTTACACAGGTCACACACAAACCTCGACCTTAGGCATCACGAAGGTAATTTTAATTTACATTAAAGCAAACTATGGACATTTGACATTTTCTATCCGTGACACTAAATCTAAATTCGTTGCAGGTAGTAGTTTAAATAAGAAATTTGGATCAGAACCTGATCTTAGGATTGAAGAAGAGCGTCAGAAACCTAAATGTAACAATAAACATTTTCGTAAAAAATATCGGGCTCCACCACCGCCAATAAATGATGTAAGTAATGAAAATAACTATAGAAATAATAAAGTGGGTACGTGAAATGGATTCTTTAAAACGATATTTCATTATTCCAGAAATACGACGGTTCATCGCCTGATTCCAGCGAAGGAAATGCGAAAACGGAACCGCAACGGAAGCTGCGGCTTTTTAAAACAAGAAATGAAACGAAAAAGATGAACGGCCTCGATAATAAATTATACAGAAATGTCAACAATGACTATAGATCACTAGACTTGAACGAGAATCAAGCTTTTGAAAGACGTTATAGATCACCTTGTAAAGACAAGGAACAGCATCTTAAATATCCAGACAGCAAAGACATGGTACAAAGTACGTCATCACTGAAAAGGGAAGAGCGCCTGCTACAACAAAGACAAGATTACAAAAAGGCGAGAACTGACAGAGTCAGTGGATGCAGAGCTAAAACTTCAAAAACGATAGAGCAAAGTGAGGCTTGGAAGACCCCTTTACTTAATAGAAATTTCAGGTATTCAGATAGGTTTAGGAGAGACGACAACGAACAGCCTACATTAAGAAGAGAAAAGACTTTTGATAGCACTTTACTATCAAGTGAAAATGATTGTGATATTCCAAAATCTTCACATGAAAGTAAGTTAAAAAGTATAGGTGAGCAGCTGAAAGGAGCTCGGCTCACACCTTTAGCAGAAACAAATAATAAGCCTTTGAGAAAATCTCTTCCGTCACTATTGCCCAAAAGTAGTGATGAAAAAGATGAATTTCAAGCGGAGCTCAAAAAGGCTACAAGTAGAATAAGAAACGAGTTAGGCAATAAAATTAATATAAGTGAAAACAAAACTAGTCAGAGCGATAAAACGAACACACAGAAACCAAACCCAACGAAAACCGTAACACAGAACAAAGTCAAAGAGTCTAGTCTTAAAACGAATGTTTGTAACAAGAAAGAAACTAAGACGGCGATTAGTAGAAGACCCTTGGTACGATCAAATGATACCAAATTGAAAGCGAATGCGCCAAGCCATCCAAATGTAAAAAATAACGCGGTAGTCAGTAAATATAAGTTCAATAGCAAAGAGAGTGGAAAGTCGATACCAGACCGAGGCCAGGCTTCTGGCAAGGAATCAACTCCAGAACACTCTCCCACCAGGAAAAGTATATCATCGACTGAACTTTCCCAAGATCTGTAAGTAATAGTTCTACTTTATATCTTTATATGTATAATACATGTACACCCGTGAGAAGCTAGGCTCGATAGCTAGTTACCTAATAATTGTGAGTTAATAAAGATGAAGAGAAAAATATGTGATATTTAGTTTGTAATGGAGATAATAAAACAATACTTTTTTTTTAAACCTCTCTAAAATTCCTCTTTAAATCTACGTTGTTAATAAGAAACATAAGCTATATATTATTTAAAACAAATACATAAAAGAAAATATAGAGGTTCATACAATAATGGCCCCAGTACTGTGTCGATTGACACTGCAATTTAATTAACGTAAGACCGTAGTATTACATAAAATATTGACATAATTAATAAGAATTTAATTATAATGTTTATTTCTAGGAAAAAATCGGCACCATCCAAACAATTCTACTTTGGCATGATTGAAAGTAAACAAACTGAGCCGCGGGAACACTTGAAGGATTTCCCTGGATTAGGAAGCCCCATAATAGAAGAAATCAGCAACTTTCACATTATAGAACAGAAGTTATTAGGATATCATGACGAGGATGCTGAATTCGAAAAGTTCAATGCAAAACTAAGAGAAGACTGCAAACTTAAAAATTGTGAGTAATTGTTTTAAATATATAATACTAGCTTCCCGGCAAACGTTGTTTTGCCTTAAAATAAAAAAAAATTAGGGGTGACTACCCCTAACATTTCGGGGGATGAAAAATAGATGTTGGCCGATTCTCAGACCTACTCAATACGCTCACAAAATTTCATTAGAATCAGTCAAGCCGTTTCGGAGGAGTATGGGAACGAAAACTGTGACACGAGAATTTTATATATAAGATTTCATGCAATGTATTTTTAACTCGTTGTGTCCGTGGTTTCACTCGCCTAAAATTCATAGCCTATGTGATATTTTGGTGTATAAGCTATATGTAAAGTGTCATCAAAATCCGTTAAGTAGTTTTTGCGTGAAAAAGTAACAAACATCCATCCATCCACAAAAAAATTAAGTACATCTATCAGTTTTGTACCCATAACACAAGCTCTGCTTAGCTTGGGATTAAATAGCGCTATGTGAAATATATTAAGATTTGTATAGCACCATATACCACTAGCTGCTATTAAATCAATTTTACTGAACGTTTTTTTTCCATTAGCCTCAACTTGTACATAGTTAAAATAACAATAGACATTAACACCATTTTATGGTCTCTCTCCAGTGTCATCTGAGTCAGCGTTGTCATCAGGGTCAGATGGCGAAGGGTCAGAGGGGTCCCTTGGTATCGCAATAAGACTACGACCTACCTTACCTAAGAAACAGCAACCTGTGCCGCGCTTCTCACCGGCTGCTGCTTGGCGGCAATTAGCATCGTTAGACGCATATTTAGCTGCAGGTAAAATTCAGATAAATTCAAAAACGTATTCGTGTAGCATTCATATATCATTTATTCATATTAGCCGCTTATGACTGTCTAATTTTTTATGTCTAATGTCTAATTTTTTCTCTACCGTCCACCGTCCAGTTCTGTATATAGATACAATTGAGAAGAACTGGCAAGACACTCAATTGAATTTCTTAAAATTATTTTAATATGCCATTTTAAGTGCAACGTTTATTTATATAGGTGTATATGTCTAACATTAAATGAAAGTCCCGTGCATGAACAACTATTGCCAGGCACGCTCGTCATTCAAGGAATCGTTTAGTCAGTTTAGGTTTAGTAAGTAAATACATCAGTTTGATATTATTTTCTTTTCTTCTTTTGCCGTATTACCTACGTGTTCAAGAATTTCCGTCTCCCTAAGGTTGTCTTTAAAAAATTGCGTTCTGCAGTATGTTCACCTTAATGTAATTCCATATTATCTTTAATATATTATTTATGTCCTTTCTTCTCTATATATTATAAATAAAGATGGTCTGGACGATATTGCTCAGCGATAAGACACCCTTTTGTATCAGTTAATGTATTTCTAATATTTTAATTATTTTCTGTATTTGGTGCAATAAAGAGTATAAATAAAGTAATCTAATTATTTTATTTATTTATTGCATATAAATAAATAAAACATATTATAATACAACACCATAACAGATTATCCAAATCGGTTTTGCAACTTAGTACAGTGCAACTTAGTATATATATATAGTAATTTATTTCACAATATAAATATTATAAAAATTCAAGAAAAATTAAATATGAAAATTTTTATAAATTGGTCCTGGCTAACAGAAATCGGAATAAAACTTGATTATGGTGCGCACCTACGTAACCATTCGCTACCTATAGCTGGAGTATAATCTATCTACCTATCAATTATAACATCAAAGATTATCTTCAAAACACCAACTGCAATGAAATCTAAATAAATCGCATCTGAATTTGCAGAAACACAGCCGCTGGCAGTGGAAACGAAGATGTCACCGAATGTGTCGCCAGAGTCCTCACCGAGATCGGAGCAGTCGGCCGACAAGTCCGGCGACTCGGGTATATCTGGTGACCATGGGCATAGTGATCAGAGGATTGATTCACCAGGACATGTGAGTACCTCAAATTTAGTTTTATTTAAATTAGTGTACACCACACGAACAACGGATATCATAGAAGATGTGGTCAAAGGCATTGTCAACTGTCAATGAGGCGGTAGTGCATCGTTATATATTTTTTTATAGCCAAGGGATAATCTGACTGCGGCTCACCTGATGATAAGTGATTACCGCCGCTTATGAGCACCCACAACACCAGAGGAATTGCAAATGTGTTGTCGTCCAATTAAGAAGAAGTAATTTCTTTTCTTCGCATTGGATGCGAGCAGCGCAGGACCGATCGTGGTGGAGAACTTTTAGGGGAAGCCTTTGTTCAGCAGTGGAAATCTTCCGGGGTTAGATGATGATGACGATGAATTTCTTTTCTTATTTGTTTCAATATATATCGGTCCGGAAATACCATTTGCTGGAAGGTGAATCCACAATGTGGTTGTGCGTGGCAAAAAGTTTCTAGAAAAAGCGTGGTGGAGCACCGCCATTTATCGAGATGATCAGGGTGGTATTTTAGTTTCTGATGGTTAGTGCGATGGTGAAATTCAGTGGCTGGTATTAATTCGAACAGTATATATATATACCTATATATTTTGAATGCAACGTGTCAGGGGGCGAGTCTACTCGGATTAAGTTTTGGTTTTGATGTTACTTTCAACGAAGAGTAAGTCAGAATATAATATGACAGAGATTTTTTTTGTGTTCGCCAGGTTTTATTCACTTATGAAAGTCAAGTTTTTTGGTTATAAGTTTTTCCCCTATCGTTCGAGCACAGGCTATAGATTCAATTGAGTCTGTGTAGTGAATTGTACTGAATTCCTTTTTTCTGAGTTTTTTAATAATGTTAGACATACGCACACATACATACACATATAAACCTTATATGTGTATGTATGTGTGCCTATGTCTACCATTAAATAAAAATCCGTTGTTATTTAAGTAATCATTTACTAAATAAAAACGGCTTTACTCGATATCGTTTTAAATTTATATAAAAGTAATTCTATAATATCCTTTGGTGAAATCAAATCTTTAATCTTTAGTTCAGACTATATAGACAATTTCTGTGTAATTTTGTCAGATGCAAGATTCACCACCAGCTTGGACGCCTCAGCAAGACCTTGGTGACAGCAGTTCCGACGGGGCTGGTGGAACGCGAGGAGTGCTACTCCCAGGTGGTGCTGTCACATATAATCCTGGTGCTCAGCCATTCAGCCTGTCCCTCCCTAGAGATGCACATGACAGGGTGAGTGTTGTATTATGCGGCAGGGATGGTGGGGGAGCGGTTGGTAATTCAGATGATTTCTCTATAGTATTCAGAACTAGATACCGTGAGGCCACAAAGCTGCTATTGAGGGTTTTAATTGGAATTTCCATTCAATTTATAGACGAAAACCAGATGTGGTTTTCATCGATCAGATTTAACTTTATTAAACGACTTCACCGATCGAGACCAAAATTTCATCCAAGTTCGATCTTCGGGCCTTCGTTTCTTCCTTTCTTCGTTTACCACTTAATAATAATAATAATAATAATAATAAATTTATTTGCAATAGATTTTGGGTACATACATATATGATGTTATACAAAAACTTCGCTTATATCCGTACAAATTTTTAGTTAATTAAATTATCAATTGTTTATATAATTATTAATTATTGTATGTAGTTATATGTCAATTTGTATATAAATCTAAAATGAGGAACAATTTATTATTTTAATATTCCAAAAACTCTTTAATTGAGTAAAAACACTTGGAAACTAACCATTCATGCAGTTTTCTTTTAAATAATATTCCATTAAATTCCATTAAATTGTTTTTATTAATGTTTCATAACAAAGGTCTATGTGTATGTTCATAATAAAAATCTATATATTTAAGTTTCGATTTGAAAAATGTAAACTCCTAAATCCTTGTAGGATTATTTAAAAAAGCAACACACAAGTTTCTTGCTCGTTCTTCTTGTGACGAGACAGCTTTCCGAATGAGCGATAGATTAAAAAAATGTTATGACGAAAGTGCTTAAATTAAGTTTATTTGAATAAAGAATTTTCTATTCTATTCTATTCTATTTTATCTTATATAGCTATTATGTATACATATAAATAAAATTGGAGTGTTTGTCTGTAATATTGAAATAACCGTTTTTTACTACATAGATATGAATATAAATACGGTACATACACCAAAATATCAATTTCTATAATTTTTAGACAGACAGACGTGTGTCGGTCTGTTTGCTCTGGCTAGGCTAATCTCTAAAATGGCTGGGCCGATTTTGACGGGACTTTTTTTGGCAAGTAGCTGATGTAATAGGGAGTAACTTAGGCTACTTTTATATTAGAAAAAAAATAAAATTCAACGCGAACGAAGTCGCGGAAACAGCTAGTTCTATTATATAAGTAGGGTAATAATCGTAATGGTCTATAGAGAAATCATCATAAACAATACATGGTGTAACATTAATTTTATAACTGTCTGTTGGACTGTAACTAATAAACTAATCACTCGCCTTACCTCCCGTCAATTGAGCAGCTGAGGAGGAGTAAAGACTGAGGAATTCATTCATTAAGGAACTATTAACTCTATATACATTATGTATTATAGTATTATATTGCTTGACACTTGCTATGCTACTAACGCCTCTTCTTATATCGCACTGGCTACTCGCCCCGGCTTCGCCCGGGTGTACATGTATTATACATATAAACCTTCCTCTTGAATCACTCTATCTATTAAAAAAACGTTGCGTGGTTGTAAAGATTTAAGCATACATAGGGACAGACAGACTGCAACAGCGACTTTGTTTTATACTATGTAATGATGTACGTATTAAGATAAAAAAAAACAAGAAACCTTTTTATGTCTTATGTGAAAGATGAAATGGTAAGAAAGGGTAATATAATCATTGTATAATTTTAAGTAGTATAAATAGTTTTAAAATATAAACGTGTTGGCAATTAGCTGTAAGTTTATATTGTGTTAATTAAATAAATAAATAAAAATAACGAGATGAATGGAAGAGAAAAACATATTAGGCCGACCACAAATAAATGGGATAAGGAAGAAGCAGATGATGATGTTACAAGGTCATAGTTGACTAGCTGACTCGTGCTTCGTCTGCGTTTCATTTCCCCACCTGTCGCAATATTTTTCACTGCAGCTCCGCTCCTATTGGTCGTAGCGTAATGTTATATAGCTTAAAGCCTTCCTCGACAATTGGAGTATCCAACACAAAAAACAATTTTCAATTCGAACCTGTACTTCTTGAGATTAGCGTATTCAAACAAACAAACAAACAAACTCTTCAGCTTTATAATTCTAATTCAAAAATCATTTATTCATGTAGGGCATTTTAGACGCTTATGAACGTCAAATTTTTTATATTATAATTTTTTCCCTACCGTCCAGTTCACTATATAAATCCAATTGAGAAGAACTGGCAAGAATCTCAATTGATATTAGTATATATTAATATACATAATCTTATATATAAAATTCTCGTGTCACAGTTTTCGTTCCCATACTCCTCCGAAACGGCTTGACCGATTCTCATGAAATTTTGTGAGCGTATTGAGTAGGTCTGAGAATCGGCCAACATCTATTTTTCATCCCCCTAAATGTAAGGGGTAGTCCACCCCTATTTTTTTTTTTATTTTAAGGCAAAACAACGTTTGCCGGGGCAGCTAGTGTTAATATAAAATAGTTAAATTCTAGGATGAAGTCACGTGTAACAGTTAGTATTAACTACGATCTCATCGTATCTTTGTACTTTAAAATGTTCCTAAACTTGTGTGAAGCGTATATTATAGGTAGACAGGTAATTTAGCAATTATACACATGTTTTTTACTCATAACATGTTATTAGATGACATAATCTTTGAGATTCGTTTGGCCCATAAAAACTTTAACATTAGAACAAGGCGTGACTTCAGATAAATTACTATGGTAATTGCTATAAGAAAAAAATATTTCTAAAATAAAACGCTTAAGTTACTACTTAGGACACTAATGTCCTAAGTAAGTCCTCTTTCAAAATCAGTGTAGAGTTTCTCTTATTACAGTTGGCTTATTGATCACTTGAACAGATTTACCCTACTACGAGGATAGAATACGGAGGGTTATGATTTTGACCGTTTTATAGTATAATTCTGCCGTGTCAATGGTATATTTAAAAAAAAAAATATCTTATTTACTAAAAAGTATTTAAAGTACATCAATTTACACATCACCTGCTGCGCTGTTACCGATTTTGACGGGACTTTGAAAGCGAGTGAAAGTCCCGTCAAAATCGGTACAACCGTTTCAGAGACTAGCACGAACAAACAGATAAACAGACAGGCAAACAAACAGTTTTGAAATTTTAAAGTTTAGCACACTGCTTTACTATAATGGTCGCGGGTTCGATTCTACGTACGGTTTGTATTCATGAGTGTGATTGTTTGTATGAGTCTGGGTGTTTTATATGTATTTACAAAAAAATGTATTTAAGTATTTCTATTTGTTGTTTAATACGCTTAACACAAGTTCTGCTTAGCTTGGGACTAGATGGCGCTGTATGAATTGGGTTTATTATGATCAAAATAAAGCACATCTTACTCGCTAATAATCCTTTCTTCAAATTAATAAATTCTCAAAACCGATTATGTATTTCCTTATATCCATCACCTGCTAATAAAAAAATATATTTCTTTATTGTTACTTTGTCTTTGACAAACAACTCTCTATGATTTATTTTTTAATTTTTAATTATGCCATTCTTTAGCTGGTATTTCAATTATATGATTTTATTTTTAATGAAACATTTTTTTATCGTTGAATTATTCTATTCTTTATCTAATCTTTCAATTCCATTATTTTATTCTTAATTAAACATTGTTTTAATATTTACTTTAAATCAATTATTAAGTACATCCATCAGCTACTAATGAAAAATTATCTTACTTTAAATAATGTTACTTTCTTGTACAAATATCTGTAATTTCTTTTTTATCGTTTAATTATTCTATTCTTTATCTGATCATTCTATTCTATGATTTTATTTTATTCTTAATTAAACATTGTTTTAATATTTACTTTAAAACAATTATTAATTGAAATAAATTACATTTCTATATATATAAACATAATATTGAAGTCCTTTCGTACTTTATTCCTCATCAGTATAAATGAAGGAGTTGTTTTGATCTCCTCGTAGTTTAAAGCGATATCGTGCTTCTACGAATGCTTCCAGGGTAAACAGTTGCAGCAAGGGTTCAACAGTCTTCAGAAACTGAAGAAGTCTGTATCGGGGGCGCTCGGTGCAGCGCTGGGCTCCAGAAGGTTCGATCTGGAACATGAGCCGATGTTGCAGGAACCCGAGCAGAACTGGTTCCTGACTAAATCAGCACCGAACTCCTTGAGTAACCCGCTGTTGTTCCAGCAGCCTGTTAGAAAGGGGTCTGTTGAGGATGATATCAAAGAAGAATCAGCGCCACCGTCCGAGAAGGTAAGTTTAATCGATATATTGTTTGGATTGATGATTGACGGCCTCGCTGGTCTAACGGTTTAGCACATCGTCTTCTGATGGTCGCGGGTTCTATTCCTGGCATGGTACAAACATTTGTATGTTTGTTGGTCATGACTATGGTTGTTTTAATGTATATTTGTATGTATTTAAACCGCTACACTACTGAGATCATGATGTTAGAATACTCAGTATTTTGGGAGAAATTTATTGATAATTTTGAAAATTTATAGTACAGTTATATTCCATATGCTATAGATATGTATATTTCATATATACTATAGAATTTGCAACGATATCGCATTTTTTAAGTTATTCTTATATAGAAGTAACAACTTATATGTAACTAGCTACTGGCCCCGGCTTCGCCCGGGTGTACATGTATTATACATATAAACCTTCCTCTGGAATCACTCTATCTATTAAAAAAACCGCTTCAAAATCCGATCCGTAGTTTTAAAAATTTAAGCTATGCATATCCCTATGTATATAGGTACAGACAGACAGCGACAGCGACTTTGTTTTATACTAAATATGTAATGATATTTCATTCAGTATTAAACAAAGTCGCTGACGCTATCTGTCTGTCACTATGTATGCTTAAATCTTTAAAATTACGCAACTGATTTTGAAGCGGTTTTTTTAATAGATAAAACGTTTCAAGAGGATGGTTTATATGTATAATACATGTGGTGGGTAGCTAGTTCATTATATAGTAAAATCTTATTTTTTTTTAAAAGTTCCTTCATGCTAGTGAGATTTGAAAAAGTGCCTCAATGTCAAACATGATACTTTAAAAATAGTTACAAAAAGGTAATTACCAACGTTTTTTTTTTGTAAAGTTCCGTCATTGAGTTGTAACGAAGTCATATCACGATGTTAATCTAATCTCGCGGTGATTAATGAGAAACTATTTACTTTTAATTTAACATACAATATAATTTGCGTTGTTCAAGTAACACTGGGTATTAATTTTTCACTTCAAATCTAATTGTTAACTCATTCATTTACTATTACATTAGCTAAATCTAAATACTGGAAAATAAAATACTAAAAACAAATACTAGACCCAAACTAAGCAAAGCCTGTGTTATGGGACAAGTAAAGACAAATACTTATATTATACTAGCTGTGCCCGTGGTTTCACTCGCGTTAAAATACAATAAAACATATAGCCATGTGTTATTATGATTTATAAGCTATATTTCTGTAAAGTTTCATCAAAAATCATTTACGTAGTAACAAACATCCATACTTACAAACTTTCGCATTGTATAGTATAAAACAAAATAACTATCGCTGTCTGTCCCTATGTATGCATAAATCTTTAAAACTATACAACGGGTTTTGAAACGGTTTTTTTTAATAGATAGAGTGATTCAAGAGGAAGGTATTTATATTAATAAGATATGTTTTTGTAATCTATATTAATAATTTCGTCAAGTGGTACGGTAGACTCGAACGAAACCTTATGTGAATAACAAAACATAAAAAAATATTGATTTCGAGTCGACAACATATATCCGCAAAATTCGGATTATGGAGTATTTCATTAAATTTTAATGACACTGACAAACAAACCGCAGTCGCCATCTTTTCATTTCACTAGCATTTTCTTCAGTCGTGGACGTTCCGCGAAAATATTGTTTTTGACACTTTTTTTATGATAAAAGAGTATGTGTTTTTTCTTTAAACCTGAAATTGGCCGATTGCGAGACAAATTTGGCAATTTTTTTTATTAAAATGTTTTACGACTCTGGATACAAAGGCTAAAAAGGACTTGTGTCCTTTTTAGCCCAACTTAGAATAACCACATTGTGGAATCACCTTCCAGCAATGGTATTTCCGAACCGATACGATATTGAAACCTTCAAGAATAGAGCTTATTCCTTTTTAAAAGGCCGACAACATACTTGCAATTCCCCTGGTGTTGCGGGTGCTCATGGGCGGCGGTAATCACTTACCATCAGGTGAGCCGTATGCTCGTTTGTCCCCTGTGTTATAAAAAAAAAAACAATTAGAATAGAATAACACTTTTTATTTACTATATTTATTAAACATAATGATCGAAGCTTTACAAATCTATTCCTTGCTTATTTTTAATATTCCATGAGAACCGATGACTACAGAAATACCTACCCACATTTCACCGAGCGAAGCCGGGTTTTCATCTAGTTACATATATAATATACATAGAAAATACCCAGCGGTCTGGGTGATACAAGCAATCATATTTATGAATAATCAAATGTTTGAACAGTGCACCGACCATCGGAACTAAACCGTTAGACTACTGAGGTACACTCCATATACATATTATTATTAATATATTATTAATTAAAATTTATATAATGGTAAGTATCTCACGGGAGCGGATATACGCTATGCATTATTGCATAAAAGCAAACGAAGCTGCGGTTAACAGTTAGTTATTTTCTGGGTTTTCCTAAAATGCTAGTAATTTCTGTTTCTTTTTAGGAGGAATCAGCTGCGTGGCGCCATGGGAGCTCTTACCTGTCATGGGGGGGACATGTTATGTACCTGCCCCCCGCCCCAGCCGCCCCTGATCAGCCACTCTCCATACTTGGTCCACTCGATAGGCCTGTCAGGTATATATAAAATATCTTGATTGATTTATATTCTCAGATTTCAAATTTATTTTGCGGACAACGTTATAATTTGTTTTTTATACTGCTTTCTTGATATATGATAGCGTAGCGGCTTTTATATTGATTGCCGCATGCATCCTCATGTAAAGTGCGAATACTGTAACTACCATATAGTAATTTTAAGTAGCTGTGACGTGGTCGAGTGGAATGAGTAGTCATGCTCACTAAAATGTCCAGACATGTGGCGGCGTGGTGGGCCAGGTCATTGGGCTCCCTAAAATATAGTCGAGCGCAGTCATGGCTGGCTCAACCGTCATACTCGTGAACGAGTGCTGCTTGTAGGGACTAGTCTGCTCTTATCACTACGACTGATTTAATCTTATTGTTTTTATATTTGAGCCTAAATAAATTAGTGCTGGTTTGTAGTTTGTATTCACACGTTTCGACTTGTGTCGAAAATGTGAACTTACAAGGATTGTTTAAAAGAGCAACACACAAGTTTCTTGCTTATTCTTCTTGTGATGAGACAGCTTTCCGAATAAGCGGTAGATTTATCAAAAAATATTGACTATTCAAAAGTGCTTAAATTAAGTTTATTTGAATAAATGATTTTCTATTCTATTCTATTTACTTAAAACATGTTACATTTAGTTCGTCAGTTACAAAATTACAATACAATAGTAAACATTAACATCAATCTAATATATAACATTCTCGTCACACAGGTTTCGTGTTTATTCCTCCGAAACGGCTTAACCGATTTTGATGAAATTTTATACGTATATTCAGTAGGTCTGAGAATAGGTTTATGACTAATTTTTATACCTCATTGTTTATGATGTGATAAAATGGATTATTTAAAATTAAAAAATTAAATACTTTATTGTTTTTCTAAATATCAAAATTGGTAAGTCAGTTATTTCTTTTGGCAATCTTCTTTTATTATATATTATTATCTTCAATGGCAGTCCCTGTTTAATAGATAGATTTGTAATAATACAATATTTATGATATTATAGCCATGACATTAATATTTGTATTTTGCGGGAATCGAACTCACAAGCAATCGTAAGTAAGACGAATGAATTATGTTTTCTGGACAGGAGTAAATCGAGTGGTTGTCTGGAAGTGGCCGCGCGTGCAGCCCGAGCGGCGCTCGCGAGTGAAATGCGCGAACGCGAACGATCAGCTTCGCCGGAAGTTGCGCGTGCGCTGCCGGCTCGCGTCGAACCGACTACCAATGTGAGTATTCTTTTTTCAAATATTAGATCCGGCAACGTTGTTTTGACATATAAATTAAAATCGCTATTAAAAAATAGGGCTTGGGGATAGAAGGGTGAAAATTTAGGGCAGTAGTTTATATTATTCTTAAATGCCACATTATAAATATATATTTTTTTGTCAAATTTATGAAAAAAAACCCGTTTTTGCGCTAACTTTTATAATATGCTAACATTTAAGTGGACGATGATGAGCATGAATCTAATTTCTATTTTATATTATATAATATATATATATATAATATATATTAAAATAATACATTATTTGGAGGTTTTTCTCTAAATATGATATTAATCCTTGTCAAAATACATAAGTTATTCATTGGGGGATTATATATCCAAAATTGTCCTTTACATCATTTCATTTCAACCAACACTTTGTGCCTATATTCTTTTTAATAAAAGAACATTTATCAGGCAATAAATTGACGCAGTAATATAGCCAGCAAACTATTTTACTTTGTCTATTGTCTATGTTTTTAATATTATATAATATAATATAATACTATATTGAACATGTATGACATAAGCGCGGTGGTTATCACTCACTGTAGCGTCATATATTATACGACTAGATTAAAAAAAATTTAATGACTATTCAAAAGTGCATAAATGTAAGTTTATTTGAATAAATGATTTTCTATTCTATTCTATTCTATTCTATGTTATGATGAAGGTGTCGCTACACAATATATTGTTTATTGTAGTATGTAGGTAGTGAAAAAGGGTAATAATTGTACATTAGTAAGTTTATTTGGTAGTGCTACATACCTTGTTAGTAGTGCTACATTCGACGCGGAGACGTAAAACTGTTTTTTTTTTTTTTTCTGACAATATGCTGTTGGCCCAAACAACCCGTTATGGAGCGAGTGCAGATGGCACTCCAAAAAAAGGACTTATTAATAACGTGAAGGCCAACTTCGACGACGGATACGAGACGTAGACTGACTTTACACTAAACTTAAATCTACGTTATCTGGAGAGGTAGTAATGGACACTTCCATTCAGATAACGAGTGTTGACAGAAATATTACAAGTGTACAAAATAAGAGAGTTTATATCAAAATTGTTTTTTAATATTTTTATGTAAACAAGATTTTACAACAGTCATGTTCATTACTAATAACCTTTGACTCGCCACCTGCCTTTCCCCGTTGCTATTGATGATTCCTATGATTAATTATAGCAACCATTTAACTGAGACGTTAATGCCCGTATCACGGCTGTTACTAAACTCATTGATGGATTGTTAACATCATATAATTATATATTAAACATTATTACGTTGATGATGTTGTTAATGAAGCTTTGTTGGTATATATATATGTATTTATATTTTATATTTATTTTAATTATTATTTTCACGTACCCTCAGATGGGTTGAAGCTGAAAATCAGTGTTTTGTTCACTGAACAATGTTCCACGCAGAGCTTCGACCTTTTTGTTTGGTACCGATCACACATAATAACACAAACTTGTAAATCTTATGTCATACTATGTATGGTCTATTTGTATGAACATGTAATTGTGTCCTGATCATCTGGATGAATGGCGGTCTTCCACAGTGCGGTTTTCTAGAAACTTTTTGCCTCGCACAACCACATTGTGGAATCACCTTCCAGCAATGGTATTTCCGAACCGATACGATATTAAAACCTTCAAGAAAAGAGGTTATTCCTTTTTAAAAGGCCGACAACGTACTTGCAATTCCCCTGGTGTTGCGGGTGCTCATGGGCGGCGGTAATCACTTACCATCAAGTGAGCCGCATGCTCGTTTGTCCCCTGTGTTATAAAAAAAATGTAATTGTGTGTGATTAGTAACAAACAAATAAACCGATACATATATCTATCTATTTTTCTTCTTTCGATTCAATGGCAACTAGGTGTATTTTTCCCCAGAATGTTGCGACGATTTTAACACTTGTTGTAGTCGGCGAGCCAGAGACTAATTTCGTCAAACATTTCGCCTGGCCGAAAATTTCTAAAATGCTTCATATAGTGGTATTATGCAGCGTAGTAAAAGACAGCTGCAGTTCCGAGTATAGTTTGAGAGCAGGACCCTCGCAAACATATTTTTTTTTTATATAAAACAAATAATATTAATTTTTTAGGTATTGTATGTTTTGTTAAATTTAACAAAATTGTTTTTTATGCACCATATTCAAACACTATATCGACTCTACGAGAGGACATACAACGACTAAACCATAACACTAAGCACAGATTCGGTGATAAATCATTCTGTGTCTCACCAGAATACTCCTAACAGTAACAATTTCATCAGTACTCAGCTATGAAGCAACTAAACGCTGTCAATTCACAAAAGGCGCTCGAAATCGTTTGTTTAATATACATAAACTAATTCATTACAAATAAAACGACCATATATTACTGCCTCTTACCAATGGATTACGTCGATGTACGATAGAGTTGCCAATCGTCATACTTTTGTCCTACATATTGTAATGTCCTGGGACATCCTCAATAGTTTTTCAGAAGTGTCCTGTGATTTACTTTTTAAAATTCACGTTTATAATTAGGAAGGTTTCAATACCTATAATTTTATTAAAAAATTGATTATTTTAATTTATAATTTGAATTTCATTTTATACATTTTCACTATATAGTAATTTAACTATTGAACCTCTATTACTGCGTCCTGTTTTTAAACTGAACTGTCCTATCTTTCCAAGTAGATCCGGGTTTTTAAATTTGTAGTTGGTAACCCTAATATACGATAATGTAATAGCCCCTTTTTATTATGATTAATAACGTTATTCATAATAGAGTGTCATATTTCATTTTTTGTCGTAATATTATAAAATATATTTAACTCAACGCCGTTAGTTTTTGACCTTAATACTGTTACGAAATAATATTTATACCGTAATACAAAAAACTGGTTTATTAACAAACTAAACTCTTTAGTTTAGTTATTCTTTGTTGTTTGTTGGAGATTCCTCCAGTGTTTGTAATATAATAATAACATAGAATATTTATAGAATCATTTTGTAGATATTTTCATTAATGACTCCGCGGAATGTTCGAGAAGTGTGTATAAATTCATCAAAAGAAACGAAACAACACCGATGTTCTTTTTTTTATTTTGTTTATCGCTTAACGTAATAGTTTTGTAAACCAGATATATTTATTATTGACACCGTGGAATATTCGAGAAGTGTGTATAAATTCATAAAAAGAAACAAAACAATACCAATGTTCTTTTTTTGTTCTGTATATCCTAAAAGAAAGGCAAAGGGAACTGTGGCCAACAGCCATGTTTGCATATTATGTTCTATGCGTGACGTTTCATATTCAAATTAAATAATTTTATTTTTAAATATAATATAAGGATATTTGCGATCGCAAACATCTACAAATACAGCGCTATCTGTTATATTTATAAAACAATTGCTTTAGAAACTTTTGTGTACTAAAGTTAAATAAAAAAGCAAAAAGGATGATATGTAACACAATCATGTTAATGATTTCTAGAGTTTTAAAATTGAGTTAAGAAAATTTGATATCACTTTTTGTTTCTATATTAAGTAGAGTCCCCATCGATCGAACCTCCGTCCAATTCAAATAGGGATCGAAATTACGATGGCCTGAGCCGAGGTTCAAACCTCAGACTAGTCGTATCCGTAGGCTGTAGTTGTCCTTCAGCCGCTCAATAAGTCCTGCGGGTTTAGAGCACTATCTGCACTCGCTTATCGTTTGGCGAAGCTGTACAGCCCAGCTCTAATTCGTAGCGATACCCTTAAACTAAGATCGGGTCCGTCAGGTAGAAGTTGGCCTTCAGCCGCTCCATAAGTACTTCCACGGGTTTGGAGTACCATCTGCACTCGCTTATCGGTGAAACTGTTACAGACAGCAGCGGTTAACAGCATTGTCCAATAAATTTATGTATAGTAAATAAACTTTAATAAACTAAAATAATATAAATAAAACTAAAAAAATAATAATCTAAGGAAAATTCACATAGCGCCATCTAGACCCAAGTTAAGCTAGCTAAAGCTTGTGTTATGGGTACTAGATAACTAATACATATACATAGATATTTTTTGTTTGTAAATACATACATATTATACATAGAAAGCACCCACCCAGATACAAACAATCATACTCATGAATACAAATATTTGTACCGTGCGAGGAATCGAACCCGCAACCATCGGACGTAAAGCGGTGTGCTAGACCGCTAGACCACCGACAGCAGATTCAGTGACCATATGCAGTCACGACTTACGTGTTCGACCGTCAACTTATTTGCCTTTCCCAGTAGTGGGCAGCCCTCCGTGTCATGGGCAGAAGTAACAATACTTCTTTGTTGGAGTGTTCGGTACGTATAAAGTGACCAGACGTTCCGTCACGAACGGGCCTGTCTCTTTTCATAGGATTTTGATAAATTCAACCCCCATGGGGATAAAATAAGGGATGAATCAGCATGTAAATGTATTAGTTGGAACCTATCAGTACCTAATGGAACGAATAAATTAAAATGAACAGAATAATTTTTAGTTCTTTAGGCTGCTTTTATTTTAGAAAAATAATGTTAAATTCCACGCGGACAAAGTCGCGGGAACCGCTAGTTTCTTTTATAATTGTCATTGGTGATATTCACACGCAATGACAAGTTTAACACCACATCAAAGGGAGATATATATGTATATGTAAATAAACAATAATATTTATCTCAGGATAATTCACACAGCGCTATTTTAGTCTTATAAACTAATAAACTAATATTTGGACCTTACGTTACCCTCCGTGTCAAGGGCAGGAGTAGCAATACTTCTTTGTTGGAGCATACGGTATGTATAATAGGGTGGAGCGATAATGTATGGAGTTTTCAAAAATTCTTCTTTTTTCAACGGCATAGCGATGAAAAGTTGCCTTGTAATATATAAAACAAACGTACAAAATTTCATCCATCTGTTTTAATGTTTTGAGGTGCCCCAACACAATTGTATTATTTTTTTTTATTTTATAATAATTTATTGTAAACATTATTCAGAAAAAATATACACTAATTTAAACATAAAATTGTTTTTTTGTGTCGAAATTAGGCATTCGTTGACGGGATAGTAGTCTTGCCCTAATGAAACCATCCCGTTTATTTTCCCCACAAACTGTATTTGATGCTTCTGTCACCAACTTGATACACCGCTCTACGGCTTGGGTGTGGCATGGGAAATCGTTAATGTTATGACATGTTCCGAGACCGTTTTAACAATGTCTTTCAATATCTCATCAGACATTTTTAAAGTTAAAGGCTCAGTTATCTCGCAGTCTTGCCACATAATGATGTCAGGATAATCTTCGGCGTCGAAATTAAATGCAGGCACCTTAAACGTTCGAAGTCCTCGAGCATTCTCTAATATTGCTTTTTTAATTCTTATACATTGTATAAACTGATCATAGACGTCCCGTTTCGAACGGGACTGTCCCTTTTTACAATCACGAGTCCCCAGTTTCCCCGAAATGACTTCTGGAACGAAAGATTTTGGCGTTTTCGAAAAACGCGCAGAAATTTCAGTAGTCGAGGCGGGTTGTGATGTTGATAATAAAGGTGAATATAAAATAAACATATTAAGAGTTTCATTCTGACTTATTAAAACAAATTTGTTCTGTTTATTTAGTTTTATATTAATACTAGCTGACCCCTCGACTTTGTCCGCGTGGAATTTAACTTTCATTTTCTAAAAATTCCTTACTACATCAGCTACCTGCCAATAAAAGTCGGTCCAGCCATTTTAGAGATTATTCAGAACAGACAGACAGACAAACAAAAATTGTAAAAAATATTATTTTGGTGTATGTACCGTATCTATATTCATATGCATGTTGTAAAAAACGGTTATTTCAATATTACAAACAGACACTCCAATTTTATTTATATGTATAAATTTCTTAATTAGTAACTTGTGAACTAACTTTTTCTAAATAAATAACTTTAAAATAATGTTTTTTTCATAGACTCTGTTGATTGATGTAAATAAACCAATGTCCTGTTTTGAGTCAAAGAATAATTGGTCACGTTAGGTATGTATTAATGAAATATGTACACATGACTCCATTCCTGAATACACATCATCAAGTTCCCACACATGTGATGACAATGAGATGCCAAGTGAATTAAGAGTTTCCGTACCGATTCAGTGGTACACGACAAACTTGTGCAAACGGATTTATTTTCTCCTCTATTTCTCATTCCTAGTGGTCATCCAGTGCTCGAAATTCGGCCATAATTAATTTAAGTTATAAATTTTAGGTTCTAATTGAGATTACTGCTACACAAGTTTCTTTTTATATTAGATTTATATTTATTTATTGAGCGAGCGATATTTTGACTATATATACCCATTCTAATAAATGAATTTATTATAGTTATGTTTGACAAATATAATGTTTACAAACAAGAAATATTCTTGATTTTTATATTGATCTTACTTATATATATATATATTTGATTCAATTGGTGGTTAATCAGACAGAATAAACAAGTTTTTTTTAATGCGGAGCAGAATAATCAAGTGGTCCAAAAGGAAAATAGCAAATTTTACTTAAAGGAAACTCTATTTTTGTTTTTATTATTAAATATAACTGCCTTTAAGATTTATAAACTTTTTTCCTGAACCTACTAAAGAAGTAAGAAAACTATAATATTTTTTTAATTCACTTGTTCAAATATGAAGAAGTTTAAAGGTAGACTAGGCTGTATGGTCTAAGGATCTTTGCCTGTTCCATCACTGAAAAGGAGATGGACGAATATGGAAAAAAAATCATAATGCTAATGTCAAGGATACATTTTGTGTGTTCTTTATTTAAATATTTAAGGAAAACCATTCAAAGTTATATTTTGTACGCAATATTTTTAAATTTTTACTAGCTGTGCCTGCGGTTTCTCTCGTGTGATGATAGTCTAAGTATCATTTTGATGTACCATGTAATCTTATTGTAAAGTTTCATTAAAATCCATTCAGCAGTTTTTGCGTGAACGCAAAACTTACAGCCGTCCTTCCAACCATACTCCCATGCTCCCGCGTTGGTGTAGATTAGTAGTAGAGGCGGTCCGTTTTTTGTAAAAGAAAATTTGCGTCGTAACGCGAAATCATAGTAAGTAAGTAAGTAAGTCATTTATTCGCATTACAGACAGATATGCACATAACAATAAAGCCCCAGTGACAGTAGCAGGCTGCGCTATAATATGCCTTTTTTCAGTAGGCATGCAAATGTTATTAATAAACCTATTATATATATTAATATCTACATTATAACAATTAGATTAATATTAGATACTTAAATTTATAGATTATTAGCATTATTACAATTATTATTACTTTATTATTATTTATAATATTTATAATTGAAATAATCGTCAAATTTGTCATACCATGCATATGTTGCATTTCTTGTGTGATTTTCGACAAAAGCGGTACACCTTGGAACGCTATCTTCTTTATCAGCGGAATGTTTCTTCGCCGGGTTAGATCGTTTCGTCTCTCGTAGAGGATTGTGTTCTATTATTTATTCCAACTGTGACACCAATTTTCTTGCTAGTGGTATGCAATTAAATGAAATTCAATTCAATTCATGCGCTTTATATACACGCGATTACATTCAGCCGCTTCCCCTGCCACTCGCGCTGCCGGAAATATTGCCGGGCGAAAACTGAGCGAGAGGGCTGAATGTAAAACCACGCTGCCACTCGCGCTGCCAGTCCTTGACTCGTGCACGAAAAACCGACAATCGAGGGAGCGCCGGGCAGCGCAAGTGGCAGCGCCAATGGCATGGGTAGTATCGTGTTTACACTCTCGCGCTGCTCACTTCCCTGCCCACTCGGGCTGAGTGTAAACTGAGTGTAATCTCAATAAATATTAGCAAGATTAAACATACAGAACTTCAAGACCAAAAATAATATTTCATTGTCAAGTTTTTTTTATTAATTATGACAAAGACGTGTGAAGATTAATATCTCTATCAAAATAATTATTTGTTGTCTGTCCTTTGATACATCTATTTTATATAAACACTTCCGAGTTACATTTACTTAGTTATTAACTTAAAAATCACGGCCGTGGTAGTGTAATAATTGAGCACTTAGCCTTGATTTCTGGGGATCGCGAATTCGATCTCTACTCAATACAAATATTATTATTTCTACTATTTTTATTATTTTATTTATATTCTTTATTGCACCAATTACAGAACAAAGAAAACAATTAAAATACAAAATATACATTGACTGATACAATAGGCAGTCTTATTGGTAAGTAAGCAATCTCTTTCAGACTACCAGAAAAGTCGGTCCAGCCATTTTAGAGATTACCCGGAACAGACAGACAGACAAACAAAAATTGTAAAAAATTATATTTTGTTGTATGCATCGTATTTATATTCATATGCATGAAATAAAAAACGGTTATTTCAATATTACAAACAGACACTCCAATTTTATATGTATAGATGGACTGAATAATCCAGAAATGTTTACTCATTATTTTTTAGTTACCCCTATGAACTTAACAATCGGTGATATAACTGAACTCTCAAAATACTCAGATTATTTTGTATAAACCCAATTAGTCGTCAAGTTTCCCTATTACGACTAACGTTCCACTAGACACAGCCACCAATTTATTTATTTGTTTCGAAACCAACAGCATACACAATACATAATATAATACGGTAGGGAAAAAATAAAATTATAATGTAAAAATTTGACGTTCATAAGCGGCTAAAATGTCCTACATGAATAAATGATTTTTGAATTTTTGAATTTTGAATAAAAACAGAAAGTACAAACCAATAGCTAATAATAGATTTCACAATATCAGTAAAAAATATAATAAAGTAACGGACTTCCACTATAGATACCAGGAATATATTCCAAGATTTCAGGAATGACCGAGGTCGCGCAGTAATGGCGTTCATAGTTCGCAGCACACGTCAGACTAGTCAGGACCGAAGTAATTATTACGTATCCTTGGTACCATTACCAAAGAAATTGGGACGTACCAATCAAATGGTTCTATTATCATTCCAACAATTGATAAAAAATTGAAAAAAAAAATTGAAGTCACTACTAATAGACAAATGCCTGTACTCAGTTGACGATTTTTGATGTTTTTTTTTGTTATTAATGACATTCTGTAAAATGACAATATGTAAATTTATAAATTTTATCAACCATCGTATCAACATTCAAATACAATGTACATTGTTCATGAATAAATAAATAAATAAACAACCTGACGACAAATCGGCTGTATATCAGCAGCCTAATATTTTCAGATCATAGTCTATGGCCGTATTGGTGAATGTTACTCAACTGTAGAAGTATTAGTATTCACCGCGTGGATGTCATTGTAAGTCGATAACACAGCGTACATGAGTTACTTCTGTTTGCAGAGCTCACTCGTGATCTCCGAGTAAAGTTCGTGATAGATCTAATCGACACTAAAAGTTTACGAGTACCTAAGTACCTTAAATACAAGATTTATGTTTCTGCCGACCTCAAATTTTATACCATAGCTCTTTTTGCGAAAGTGTTTCGAACCCCTAGCGGTGCCCTCAGATCAAAGTCATATCCGTCAGGCGGGAGTTGACCTTTAGCTGCTTTATATATCCTTCCGCGGCCCTCAGACTAAAGTCATATCCGTCAGGCGGGAGTTGACCTTTAGCTGCTTTATATATCCTTCCGCGGCCCTCAGACTAAAGTCATATCCGTCAGGCGGGAGTTGACCTTTAGCTGCTTTATATATCCTTCCGCGGCCCTCAGACTAAAGTCATATCCGTCAGGCGGGAGTTGACCTTTAGCTGCTTTATATATCCTTCCGCGGCCCTCAGACTAAAGTTGTATCCGTCAGGCGGGAGTTGACCTTTAGCTGCTTTATATATCCTTCCGCGGCCCTCAGACTAAAGTTGTATCCGTCAGGCGGGAGTTGACCTTTAGCTGCTTTATATATCCTTCCGCGGCCCTCAGACTAAAGTTGTATCCGTCAGGCGGGAGTTAGCTTTCAGCCGCTCCATATGTCCTTCCGCGGGTATGGGGTGCTATCTGTACTTTCTCCCTTTAGCTGCTTTATACGTCCTTCCGCGGCCCTCAGACTAAAGTTGTATCCGTCAGGCGGGAGTTAGCCTTCAGCCGCTCCATATGTCCTTCCGCGGGTATGGGGTGCTATCTGTACTTTCTCCCTTTAGCTGCTTTATACGTCCTTCCGCGGCCCTCAGACTAAAGTTGTATCCGTCAGGCGGGAGTTAGCCTTCAGCCGCTCCATATGTCCTTCCACGGGGTATAGGGTTAGCACCATAGGAGCAAGTACAGATAGCTCTGTACTTGCTCCTATGGTCCGGTGATACTGTAAGGTCCAGCTATGGACAAAAGCATTGGAGTAGTCCGAAAAAAAAGCGAGGGTTAAAACTCGTTTTTAATTAAAAACAATATTTATGATAACCATCAGCCACTACGCTAAGGCTTTCCGCGTCCTTACAAAATTTACTTCATTATTATTCAGTACGTAGTAAATAGTTTTATTATTAAAAACTTCTTAAAACGAAATTGTTAAATATTTAATTCTGAACAACTTTTATTTAAAAGAGCAACACGCAAGTTTCTCCTTCGTTCTTCTTGTGATGAGTCTGCATTCCAATGAGTGGTAAAAAAAAACTATTCAAAAGTGCTTATATTAAATTCTGCGGTTTTCTCACGAGACTACAGTATGGGGTTTTTCAAGAAGGGTATATTAAGGTTTCTTAAGGGTCGGCAACGCGCACGTGACACCCCTGGTGTTTCAGGCGTCCATAGGCTACGGTAACCATTTACCATCAGATGGGCCGTATGCTTGTTTGCCTCTATAGTAGTACCTATAAGAAAAAATATTATTTCTAAATTGTTACACAGTTATGATAAACTTTGGCCGTAATTTAACTATTTAAACACGTTCAACAACTACATAAATAGTAATATTCACGTTTACTCATACATCTAAAGTCATTAAGTATTCTGGATGGAAATCACTACGAATTCCCGCGTAGAAACGGGCCACGTAAATTGTATACGGTTTACTCGAATAAGAATAGAATAATAATGTCTACGAAATTATTTGTACTGTAATAATCTATACATATAAATAAAATTAGAGTGTCTGTTTGTAATATTGAAATAACCGTTTTTTACTACATGCATATGAATATAAATATATATATATATATATATATATATATATAATACCAGGTTTATACACCAAAATAAAGATTTTTACAATTTTTGTCTGTCTGTTTGTTTCGGCTAATCTCTGAATAGATTAGACCAATTTTGACGAGAATTTTTTTTGGCAGGTAGCTAATGTAATAAGGAGTAACTTTGGCTACTTTTATTTTAGAAAAATAAAGTTATATTCTACGCGGTCGAAGTCACGGGAACAGCTAGTGGTAAAATATATGTTGAATGAGTAATGTTTTTACGCCTTGAAAAACTAGACAAGTTTATTACTATAATATAAATAACAATAAAATACATATAAAAAAGTAATTTGTCTTTAGATCTATTGTTAAAAATAAATTACGTTTTTATATGCATTTTGTATTGTTATTTCAACTCCAATGTCCAGTTTAACTGACAATTTCAATTGAAGAACTGGCAAGAGGCTTTCCTGGTAGTTTTTAATCAGTTCATAGACTCTTACTCAATCTCATATCTCCTTTATTAGCATAAACCAAAGTCGCTGTTTTGTCTGCATGTTGAAACGCATAAACTTAACAAATTTTGATACAGTTTTCGTTCTTCTTCCAAAAAAAATTAAACTTGCATTGAACCACTTTTTAAATAAACTCTTATTATTTTTAATCTACTACTTATTCGGAAAGCTGTCTCATCACAAGAAAAATGAGCAAGAAATTTGAGTGGTGCTCTTTTAGATAATTTAATTGTAAAACTTTAGCTATTTCCATAGCATTATGTATTTTTACAATATTTATACAAAAGAGGGCCATTCTCCATTTACCACTTGCTTCTCAATATATTTATGAAAATATCATGTATGCCAGGAAGAATATAGACAGTTTCAAAAGAGTTAGTGATTGCAAGCTTACGTAACAATAACAAACTGATTTTACCTCATTGCGTAAGGTTTTACAATAAAATACCAGAGTCTGTTATAAATCTGCCAGAAAAAAGATTTAAATGTCAAATAAAACACTTCCTTTGCAAAAAAGCTTACTATAAAATTGAAGATCGTTAACGATAATAATGTTTTTGTAGAAAAATTTTAAATACATAGCACTGACAATATTATCTGATTACACTAATAATGAGTGCGTAGCGATTTCTATGTTGATTGTCGCATGCTCTTTTACTGATATTAAAAAGAGCAACACACAAGTTTCTTGCTATTCTTCTTGTGATGAATCTGCATTCCGAATGAGTGGTAGAATCAAAATATGACTATTCAAAAGTGCAATTTTATCTATTTCTATTTCTATTTCTTTACATTTTTATTCGACATAAAAATGTAAAGTTACAATCATAAATATGTGTGTGATAACAAACTACCAACTGGCACTAATTCATTAGAAATTACTAATTCATTACAGTCAAAATGATGTTCAAGGGACATTCTTTACGATATTGAATACACTCTTAACTTTCTCAATGTTAAGTATTAAGCATATTTACATAAAAATTAAACAAGATTTCAAGTATATAGAAATGGTGTCAAGTTAAATGTTGAAGTTAAAGTTACCAACAATTTGGTAACAGAACGAATCTTAACTTAACATAATGATCCGTAAAGTTTTTACCTATTGATGACATATATATGTCGTAAATACTTACGAATGGCATAATAATATTTTTAACTGACTCACAGAAACGCATTTTTATATATATTTACGTATATATGTATATAGATGACTTTTATGTAATATATATTTTATATATTATATAGGTCACTCTATTCTCCCAAATTGGAATTAAAAATGAATTTGTATTATTGGAAACATGTACAAAATTTATTTGAAAATACGAGCTGAGTTTCTTGTCAGTTGTTCTCATCTCGAAATCATTCCGAACTGACGGTAGATTTGACATATCATAAGAGTCTGTAATAGACCTACATGAATACTAGTACATTTTGTTTTTTTTTTATTTATATTGTAAAGTAATTTACTAATTATATTTACCCTATCCTGTTTTTTATTAGCTCTGACCTGCTTAACTTTTTTTTTAACTGACCTGTTTTGAAATAACCAACTTAAATATAAGTTTAAATCAAAGATAAATTCACGAGGTATCTATTATTGGCTTTACTAATTATGTAAAACTCTATATATGTGTATAAATTATATAAACTGTTGATTACCTAAAATAAATAAATAATTCTGAACGTAATTTTGTGCCAGTGTCGTTAACTGCGTATTGGAAGGGCCTCTTTATAAATAAAACATTACTTACATAACAAATTCGTGTCAATACGGGTATTTTAAATGATATAAGTGGAAAATGGTCGGAGCTAAATAGTACTTGGTTTTGACATTTCATAATATGGTGAATACTGAAATGAATAAGTTTAACGTATGTTATTGTCTTTCAAAATTCTGTATTAGACTGAGTTCGGTACAAAATTGTGTAATAGAATTCTTAATAGAAAATACAATGTATAATATGAAGTATAAAACTATATGACCAGTTCGTCAGCAACAATGTACATATTTATATTATTGTGGTGAAATTGTGCTGCCTGTGTTAGAATAGAATAGAATAGAATAACATTTATTACATCACACATCTCAACACAATAAAAACGATGCTGACAGCTGCATATAAATTATTATATAAGATAAACGTAAATAAAAAACAATACATTAAATTAGAGATGAAATCATTATATACGAAAAAAAAGAACAACATAGTAACAAACAAATAAATAATAATAATAAAAAACCAATAATAAATAATAATAAAAAAGTAAAATGCATTTCCTATTCACCACTGCGGAGCATCGTCACCGCGTCACTGTGTACTGATGTGTGTGTAAGGGACCCATCTCAGCATTATGCCATGACAAAACTGGTGCTGGTGCCACGATGCTGATTTTCAGTGGAACCCCGAATAAATGATTCACAGTGTTAATAGAACTTGGTGTGGGGACAGGAGTAAAGGATGAAAGGATGATCCCTGTTGTTAGTTTTGTAAGATATTTTATTTTATACAGATATTTTTATATTATAATTAAATATCCCTTGAGAATTCATACAACGATACATAGTATCAAACTAAGCAGAGCGTATACTTTGGGTTTAGATAATTCAAATATTTAAAAATCAATTCTGAGGTTTTGATTTTAAAGTCTATTTCCAATATTTATAAATCTTGAGTTAATACATAATTGCACTATACATTACAATGCACGTCTAAACTTGCAATATATAAGAAAAACACCAAAACGAAAATACTAAAACTTTTAAATTCTAACTTACTAATACAAAAATTTAGTTCTAAATGTCTGTATTGAATCCGCGAACGTCTTAGAGGAAAGCAGAGCGCTAAACAAGTGTACCATATAGGTAGTCGATTATTTATTTATATGTTAGGTCGTAACACTGAATCGAGCGTTTTCTTTCATGAAAAGACTACGTTTTCCTAGAGTGGGAGGGGCAGACCGAGCCGAGGCGCATTTCGCACACACGTGTTCCGCGCTGCGCGTGCGCACCTGTCGCTCAGTATAGTCACTTGTGTTGGTTATTATTTACATTTATCTACGTTTGTGTTTGTGAGCAGTTTCAGAAAACGGTTAGTTGCAATATTTTTATTTATTATTTATTTATTTATTACTATATCTTTAAAAATAGTATTATTGCTATATAAGCGATCTCTTCAAGATGTTGTTTAGGTAGAGTAGAAAAGACCTGAAGGTGTTAGATGGTGTATGAGTGGAATGGAAGAAACGTAAATAATAATAGTAATATATCATATATAATAATATATCAATAACAATATATGAACACATATGAACACACATACATATAATTTTAAGTTCTTTTAATTTTTTTAGTATGCAATATAATAGTGTATCTTTATCACTACATATTATAAAACAAAGTCGCTGTCGCTGTCTGTCCGTCCCTATGTATGCTTAAATCTTTAAAACTACGCAACGGATTTTGAAGCGGTTTTTTTAATAGATAGGGTGATTCAAGAGGAAGATTTATATATATGTGCCATTGTACATGTACATGTACACCCGTGCGAAGCCGGGCTGGGTAGGTAGTATAGTATAAAATGAAGTGCTGCGGAACTGCGGAAGGCGCAGTGTGTTCGCTTAGATCTTTTAAACTCCTAATAACTGTATTAAAATCCTTTGTCTGATTTTAATGCAGTTTTTAGCAATAGATAGAGTGATTCAAGAGGAAAGTTTATATGTATGTTAGGTAGCTAGTATAACACAAAGAATTGTAGCTTTATTTTCTTTTGTTACTTGTTTATTGTTGCCTTTTGTTTGGTTTTTGTACTCAATTATAATCTTTTTTTTTTGTGTTTGGTATATTGATGGTAAATGGTATGTGCATAGTCCTATACAAATGGTATACGCTGTCCAGTCCGGTTATAGATGATGGGATGATGGTGAAGTCAAGTCAGTTTTTTTTATTTTATTGGTTTGTTTGGGACCTGTAGCACTGCGACCTACATAGATCTATTGTGGTCGCCCTTTCTTATAGTTCCCTACCTAGAACCGTCAGGTACAAGAATTGAAGGATATTCTTAGGAGCGATGGTTTTTATCTCCTCGGAAAGAGTGTAAACTTTCCAAAGGAGATAAGTTAAGTCAGGAAGTCATAGACATTTTTTTTTATTAGGAAAACAATAGAGTGCAATTATATTAACAAACAATATTATTTATTTAGATCCTTTGTTATGTAAGATAATATATCTTACATAATATGGGTCATAATATAGGTGTATATGTCTAACATTATATGAATACGATAAATATATATAATAAATATCATACGATTTCATAACGTAAAATATTTAAAAAATAACATAGTTTTAATTTGAACCGTTAATTGTGTAAAACTTAATCCATATTTTATGTTTTTGGCCTTTATGTCTATTAAAATGCATACGTAAATTTCAAAGGTCAAAATAAAATAAAACTTTAAGGAATTCTAATATTTCATATAGCATTTGTATATTATGCATTTTTTTCTTTGTGTTGTATTTATGTTTATATTATATTTATGATACTGGTGTGACAAACGACTCATCTATACATATAAATAAAATTGAAGTGTCTGTTTGTAATATTGAAATAACCGTTTTTTACTACATGCATATGAATATAAATACGGTACATACACCAAAAAACCACTTTTTACAATTTTTGTCTGTCTGTCTGTTGGTCTGTTCGTTACGGTTAATCTCTGAAATGGCTGGACGGATTTTAACGGGACTCTTTTTGGCAGGTAGCTGATGTGATGTAAGGAGTAACTTAGGCTACTTTTATTTTGAAAAATTCTTTTATTTAAAAAAAATACATTTCTACTTTTTTTTTATCTTTTCCACAGACTCGCAGTCATAGACCACTCTTATTACTTCATATTGTTTATTTCATTTGTTCGTACTAATATTTCCTATGAGTAAGTGAGATAATAATTATATTTATTTCCCGCCAAAATCTACCCAGCGCTCCGCCATTTTGAAGGAAACAGATTATAAAATTTCCGCGATATATTTATATATGAATAACAATAGCGTTACTATATAGAGGAAGAGTTAAAAGTGAAAGGGAACTCATAACGAGTTGAATATTAAATATTCACGAGTACATACATTACATTACGTTTCACTCTTTGATTGTTAGCATTTTTATAATTTAATAGTATTTATGTATATTGGAAAGGGAATTAAATTATACATGCATTAATTATAGTAAATGTGTATATATTAAGTTAGTAGAGAGTGAATGAATTCTGAAAGTAAACACAGCACTGCACCGAGAAAGAAAAACAAAATGTTTGAATGTTTGAATTAAAAATTATTATAAATTCAAAGTGACAACCTATGTCCTATATATGATCTGAACGGGATTTTTTTTATTCTTTGAATTGTTATTTACAATTCAAAGAATAAAACAAAATCCCATTCAAATAAATATGTAGGTAAAGAAAAGTATTATTAATTACAAAAACTTATTTATAAATTGAAAAATTGAAGAATTCGTAAACGATAATAATGTTTTTGTAGAAAAAATTTTAAATACTTAGCACTGACAATATTATCTGATTACACTAATAATGAGTGCGTAGCGATTTCTATGTTGATTATCGCATGCCTCTTACTTGTTACACTGTAATTATTTATATAAAAATAAAACATCTATTAAAAAGAGCAACACACAAGTTTCTTGCTCATTCTTCTTGTGATGAATCTGCATTCCGAATGAGTGGTAGAATCAAAATATGACTATTCAAAAGTGCTTGTAATGAGTTTATTTGAATAAAGATTATTTCTATTCTATTTCTATTCTATTCTATTCTTATATTTTTAATACTATTTTTACGAGTCCTTCACACTACATAATATTATTTCTATTTCTCACATGTTTACATAAACAATTAAAATATAATTTAAATCCTACATCGTTCGTTATAAATGGTCAATTCGTTATAAATACAAAAAACTTGACGTTCATAAACGGCTAAAATGTCCTACATGAATAAGTGATTTTTGCATTTGAATTTGATTAACCTATATCTATACAATGAAATAAATATTCAAGTGTTTCTTTTTAATATCATATGTTCTTATTAATCTCTGAAACGGTTTCTTGACGGATTAAAATTTATGTGTTTGTAATATATTATGTTCTTGCTAATCTCTGAAACGGCTGGACCGATTGTGACGGGACTTTTACTCGCAGACTGCGAATCTTATAAGAGGTACTTTCGGCTGCTTTTATATTAGAAATTTTCGACGAAGTCACGGATAACAGCTAGTATAAAAAAAAAGACTTACTAAATTCAGACTGAAAATATCACATGCATTCGATATACATAAATGTAAAGTGATAGATTAATTAAATAAGAGCAAAACACTTTCGTGCTGTTCTTTTAAATAATTGTTGTAACTTTACATTTTTCATGTTACAAATGTGTGAATATAAAGTACCAACTAGCACTAATTTATTAGGGTCAAAATATTAAATACACAATAAGGTTAAATCAATCGTTTCGTTTAGTTTACAATACTGTCGATTACAAATAGAATAAGATTGACATTTAGTTTTGCAAAAAAAGAATATTAATATACAGATAAAATTTATTTATTATCTACACATATAAATAAAATTGATTGATCTGTTTGTAATATCGAAATAACCGTTTTTTACCACATGCATATGAATATAAATACGGCACATACCAAAATAATATTTTTTACAATTTTTGTCTGTCTGTCTGTTTGTTTCGGCTAATCTCTGAAATGGCTGCACCGATTTTGACGGAACTTTTCTTGGCAGGTAGCTGATGTAATAAGGAGTAACTTAGGCTACGTTTGTTTTAGAAAAAATATTTTGTTTTAGAAAAATAAAGTTAATATCCACGCGGACAAAGTCGCGTGTACAGCTAGTCCTGCATAATGTAAATTATAACTTAGTAATAAACTTCGATACGGTATTTGCAATTTCGATGACACGATAGGTGCAGTGTGCATGGGATGACATCAGTCGTCGAGGTCGACTGGTTCATATGTTTATATGTCAACTCGTTGACACTAAAAACATGTGATATGTTTTACATTGTTCTACATTTTTTTTTATACCACGGCGGTAGAAAACAAGCATACGGCCCATCTGATGGTAAATAGATTACCGAAGCCTATGGACTGGCCTGAAACACCAGGGGTGCGTGTTGCCGATCCTGAAGAAACCTTAATATACCCTTCTTGAAAAACCCCATGCTGTAGTCTCGTGAGAAAACCTCGGTAGTAGTTCATTCCACAATCTAAGTGTACGCGGGAGGAACCTCCTTACACATGTAATATATTCAAAATGTAAATAGAATGTAATGTAAAACTAAATTTAAAGTGTCTAACATTTTTTATGATATCTTAATGGGAAACTTATAAATGGCCCACATGATGGAAAGTAACCACGAATGTAACAAAGTACATTATACTGTGATTTACAATTAAAGTTTTATCATATTAAACACTTCCTATGTTACACTTTTTCAGGCAGTCGCCATTTTTATTGCTTATTTTATTTGTCAATTATTTTCACGTCAGAAATCGTTTAAAGCTGAAAATCTGTGTTTTTGTATATGTGTTTTAATACATGTATTATGTTGTTCTTTTATTCCTCGATAACAGAAACAAATGGGCATCCTTTCTTTGGAAATAACAATACATCTAAATACATATAACTCAAAGGTGACTGACTGACATAGTGATCTATCAACACACAGCCCAAACCACTGCACGGATCGGGCTGAAATTTCGCATGCAGGTAGATGTTATGACGTAGGCATCCGCTAAGAAAGGATTTAGATTACTTCTACCCCCAAGGGGATAAAATAGGGGATGAAAATTTGTATGAAACTTTGTCAATTTTAAACCGATCAGGCTGAGACTTTGCATGCATAAAGCTACTATGACGTAGGCATCCCCTAAGAAAGGATTTTGATAAATTTCACCCCTGAGGGGATAAATTAACGCGAGCAAAGCCGCGGGTAAAAACTAGTTCTTAGTATAAAAACTCTGTTTAGTTTTTTTTTAGAACAGTAACAATCGACG